CTTTATTAAAAGGATTAGAACGTTCATCTATTTTGCTTTTGCTTTTCTCTTAAGTAGAGTTGATAGCCTTAACCATTAGCGTTTCTTTTAATTTAGTCCAAGGCTTTGTTTCTTTGAGTTACATATAATTATAATAACATTAGCATTCTAAGTGGTTGCAGTAAATAATTTTCCGATGCCGTTTAGATAGATAGATCAATTCATCCACTTGTGCAATTCAATTGAAAAGCTTCAAGTCTCCCCCAAGATTTACTAATTTTGTTCAAAGTCTATGATTCCTCTTTCGCAGACAACAAGGGAATTAGTTGTTGACCGTACAAAAGTTTATCTTACTGCCTGGCAGTCGGTACAGAATCAATATTGTTGCTTAACATATACCCATTGTCTTGGCTTTTAAATTTAAATCGTAAGCCAAAGATATCAGGCAACTTCGAGCATATGTTATTCTTTGCCGGTAATTAAAGGAGATTTACATTACGTTTTCATCGAACGCTTCAATTGGATTAAAATTTTAGGGCTACGAGGAGCAATGTCGTTTGCTTTGGCTATAAGAAACACTTTATCAGAGGCCCGCCAAACCATGCTAACCGCCACTTCTTTAATTGTTATATTCACAGTCATCATCCAAGGTGGTGCTGCAAACTTTTTACTTAACTGGTTAAAAATACCGTAAGTTTCCGGAGATAGTGCGAGAAAAAAGTGTTTTGTTTTTTATTTTCGGCAACTCAAGATTTCTTCATTTTTTTTTTAATAGCGTTGATGTTGATGAAGAGACTGAGCAGTTAAACAACTATCAAGTGCGCAGTGTGAGTACTTGTAGAAAATTTTCTTTATTTTTTCAATTCTTACTGCTCTCGACACAAATATGTAATAAATTATCTTTTTTAAATATTTGCGCATTTTATTTGTGTGAATTGCGTGAAAGCAAAAAAGGGACCTTTTACAAATCAATTCTAGCTTTCTTACCGATACATCTCAAATCAATTATCTTAAGAAATACTGTACATATTAAAAACAGATTAAGAGAAGTCGTTATTATTTTAAAAAAATTGTTAGGTAGTTGAATTTAATTTTTTAGGGTATTCACGTCGTAAATAATTTTCTTTAATACTTTGGGCATATACACCATAAAGTTTGACAACATTTGTCCAAATGTCTTAAAAAAAGCTCTTAAATAGCATTACAATAATATAGTAATAATTTTGCGAAAACACAAATGTTGAAAAATCATCTGCAGTGAGGAGAACGTGAGCTCAAAATAGTCAAAGTCGTTGAATCGATAGACATATCTGGCAGGTCAGACCCAGAGACAAAGCCAGTAATTTAAATCAATTTAATAGCAGCAGCAACATTGTTCTTCGTATCATATACATACATATAAATATATATATATATACGATGTGGATATATACGGGGAAATCAAACACAGACCGAAGGTTGTTGTTTAATTGATTGCTGGTTAGCAAACAACGCCGGATAAAGTATCGGTATCGATAGTTCCGTATCTAAAAATTCGCTATCGATAACTGACATGACGATAAAGAATTCGCATTTTACAAAATGTATATACGAGAGCAGAGCAAAAAATTTAAAAAGTAATGTCATTGAAGCAATTTTGAAAAATTAAAATATATTCAAAATATTATACTATTAATGTGAAAAGGAT